AACGATAAATTTATGACCAAGCTGATCTAGGAGAGAATCGAATCCAGCTCGGCTCCAGGCTCCCCCCTCCATTATAGCAGTCATCTGTGTGGTGCTGGAGGTCATCTGATGTAGTTGGTAGTGCACCAAGTCCTGCTTGAAAAGCACCGCAGCACCTCCTTTGGCTCGACCTGCTGGGTGATCCGCACGGTGGCAAACATATCCCTCCATGGCGAAGTACATGCCAGCGTGTAGGTGCGTTTCTGAGACAAGCATGATGTCTATTTCATGTTTTCTCAGAAATAGTTTAAGCTCGTTTGCGTTTTGTATGATGCTGCGAGCGGTGAGTGGGAAGACCGAGCTGTGGAGGACCTTGCGCGTCCTTCAGCTCCTTTATGCTGACTAGGATAGTTGCAACCGCGACATTAAGTGCTGCGATCGACTGCTGGAGTCCTTCGAGGATACTTCCGAGGGACGTGTCTTGCCCCTGAGATCCATGCTGTGGGTATTGGGGCTGCATTGTTGTAGCGGTGGGCTAGTTGGTGCACACGGGGTGTTGGCACGCTTGTGCAGGTTGCTGCTAAGTGTTGCGTCCTGGCCGCAACGCATCAAACATACATATGTTTGTGTTGTGTGGATGCGCGCACAAGTAGATCACGGCGTTTGTCGCGAGCCAGAGATTTTTTCTTCAATTGTGTGTTTCTTGTGCCTGTGGTAGCAAATTAATAATTAGCACCTCAGGATGGGCGGGAGCACCATGGCGAAAACAGCGAAGACGAATTGACGTCCGATTTGTTGTTATTGATCTTTTTATAGTTTTGTTACCTTTGCTTAGGGTAAATCTGCCTCTGGCCTTTGATTACGGAATCAACTTTTTTGGAATCAGCTGTTTTAGTTATGTGTAGATTTGGTGTAGTGTAGTGTGTATATGCCTTACATGAACACCCTGTATTCAAAAAAATAGTATGCGGCAGTTTGTTGCATACAATAACAATTATACTCTAAACAGCCCAGAGCCACTTGTGTATTGTGTATGAATGTATTGGCCCTGGCTCATATTACGCAGCGCGGTTCACTAGCCCTCTAGCTGACCGTTTATGCTTACGCTGCATATCCCACACTCCGTCTGGAGCGCATTCCATGAGCAACATATATATGCTCACTAACACAGGCATATGCAAGCTACACACTCTCTCTCTCTTTGTAGCTGTTAACCGATAACAGCATAAGTACATACATGTATCCATAGGCTAAACACATGCCTTTAACTTGGAATAAATTCATTCTAAATATAAATACCCAACACCACTGACGTGCTCGAGTTTTTAAAAACCAAAAAGAAATCGTAGTGGTATTCAGCTACGCATAAAGAAACCGAAAGCGGAAGAATGCAAACTATTATATAATAGCAGCAAGCCACCAAGTTTGAAAGATGCCAAGAAGCTAGCAGATGAGCTAGACTTTCTTGAAGAGCAATCTAAGACTTACAAAACAGAAACGATAACGCCTTACACTCAACCTATAAAGAACTTGTCTAATACAACTTATATTCAAAATACAGAGAAGAAGCTGCTGCTAAATAAGCGGCACCTAAAAGGTGCGCAGAAGACTGCGAGGGACCACTATTCACTATTCAGCCCGGCGACCTGCACCGGCAACGCTGACCGTTTCAAGGCAGCCAACTAGACGAGAAGAAGCAGCCAACAGTAGCAGAAGAAGACACCATACTATTTAACTTTGCTATACTTAATATTTTATATTTTGTAATGACACCCACTGTGTTGTGTGAGTCAAGAGAAGTATGACCTATAAGTCATACGACAAAATAGACAGGAAAAGAACAAGAAATTTAGCCAAAGCAAAACCGTGATAAAGCCTAACGTATACGACGTCATTAAAAACGACGATATACGAAAAATAGTGACCTTGCATATAACAAATACGCTATGCATTTTAAAACATGGTAAAAATATTATTGCAAGAATTGAGATTAGCGACCTTTATACCAATGGAATATTAGACTTAGGTCAATTTTTCCAAAGGCTTGAAAAAGAAGCCGGTATATTAGGAATCAGCCATCTCACCGAGCGAAAAGATCTTTGAATTTATTTCAATCGATAGTTTTAAGCAAATGAGCAATAAAAACCTTAAAAATCTCAGAGTAGCGCTACTCAAGCCAATGACCCTAATAGAAAACGAAAAAGAAAAATAAGCTATAATGTCTACATTTCACGTCGATTCCGTACAAGGACACAATGGCAAAATAAAGACTTCAAATAAAATCAAAAGACACTACTATTGGAGAAATATGACACGTCATATAAATGAGTACATACGTAGATGTCCTAAATGCTAAAAGTCAAAAACAACGACCCACACAAAAACACCTCTGACCATTACAGAAACCCCGATAAATGCGTTCGACAGAGTATTAGAGCCATTTGAATGTATTGGCCCTGGCTCATAACAGCATAAGTATATTAAGTAAAGTGAAGTGTGCTGGTACAACAATGTGGAAGTTGCTTCGTCTCTCGGTCCAGCGATGGTAACGTAACTTTTGTTGATACGGGTACGTCTTCTTACGATGATTATGGTGAAAGGCTTGACTTCGCCCGCTAATTTCTGGCCTTGTGGTTCAGCAATGTGATTGTAATATAAATCAAATGGCATTTTCGGCAGCGTGCCGGAGTAATGCAAGTTAATTCTTAAACGTCAAATATAAAACTGAACTGTAGTATAAAATTGAATTAAAATTAAACCTTAAAGCTGGACCCATAAGCTACAAAGCTACAGCTGGCAAGCCGACTCAGCATAAGCGATAACGCAGACACTTGCAGCATAGTCAAGTATCAGGTGGTCGGGTGGCTGAACTCATGCGTCAGCGGAATATGTTTGGATCAAATGGGTAAAGATAAGGGCTATGCAAGTTTCTTATGCAAAGTTATTCGTGTGCCATTCTTATATGTTAACTATTCCCCTCTCAAGTTTATGACCGTCCTCGGTTATTTTATAGCTGTTTATGACACTTCGTACTTCCCGCGAAGCTTGTCTTCCCTTCAAGATTTGGCATATGGTGGCAAGGCCACTTAGGATGACGCTGAGAGTAACGACGACAACAATCCTCGTATTGAATGAGTCGGTGGACGCCAACTCGTTTTTGACGTCACGAAGGTTGACGTCACGAAGGTTGTCATTGTTCATCCAATGGAGTTGAGGTATACTCAAAACTGGTTCGTGACTAATGATGTTAGGTAGCGGTGACCCCGCTATGCCTGGCGTCTTATTTAATATCTCACTCTGGTTCACATATTTTGTGCCATTGATGATTGCGGAGAAACGGAAGGTGACGAGGTGTGTTCAGTTTGTAGTGATCTCTGGGCCATCGTCTGTACTGACCCTTGCTGTGCTCTCGTTGATAATTATGATTCCATCATCTGCGTGCGGCAGGAGGCCGCACCACCTGCGTGCAGTGCTCGTGCACAGGTCTCTTGTGCTGTTAACTTACAAACGAATGCGAATGTTGTTGCTACGCACTCGCTAGTACGTCATTGTTACATTCGGCTAAGGTGTCATCTTATAGCTGCAGTGTGACATGTTGATGTGATACCGGGAAGATGGTGACTCTGGTACAGATGAATTTAATTCTAGGGTAAGCTATGAGTATATCAATTATATTCTCGGACTGTAGGACTTTAATTTTCGTTGCTTCAGTAATGCTAACTATATGGATCTCTACGGGGTGTTCCCTTAAAATTGTCTGCAAATCTTCATGATCAAAAATAGTGGGATTTATTATATCAGCTTTAGCTAATGTAATTGTGAGTATCAAGTTTGAAATTTGGTTTATTAACATTCTATTTCTCGCTAATAATATTTCATATAAATGCGGTGTGTCAACTAGCTCATTCTGTTTTGCTTTAATAATTTCATTTATCGTATCTGTGAGTTTATTAATTTGCTTCTGTGTTTCTGAATTAATCACTATTTGCCTATTGGTTGCATCAATTAACTTTGATTCGGGCCACCGAACTTTTTCAAAATCGGCCGCATCTGGCGTGCCAGCAATTACCTTGAGTGCTGAGCCTAGGAAGTCTGGACTTCTTGCCATTCTATGGTGCACTTTTACCACGGACAGCAAACTTCTAATATGCTCTATATACACATCTAACAGCTTTCGCATATGCTATTGGGGAAATAATTTTGCTAATTTTGCGGTCTCATCTGTCACACTAGCAAAGTCTGTCAGGTTGCTCGAATGCCCTAAATAGTCCCTTTGTTCCCATCTCAATACTTTCCAGTCTATCAACGGAATGTAGTTGGAGTGGGAGTAGTCGACAATCCGACAGTGTACTACCCCTAACAATAGAAGGACTGCATGTTTAATCCGGCAATAGATAGGAAAAGAGGGAATAAAGATTGTTGTGCGCTTAAATATCAATCTTAGCCTGTACGTGTAAGTAAATGCTACTTAAGGTTGTCCTTATGGGCCACCCTCCCTTTAATAAGAACAGACGTTCCTAGGTCTGCTTGAATCGTTTCCTCTGTGCAAAGTGGTGTTAACTCATTTCCTAACCTTCTATTGTTTTTTGCGAACACTTTTACGCCTACTTCAAAAACTCTATTTTGACTGCTCGGGTTAGATCTTCCAATATTATCATGTTGGGCATTTGCGATTTTATTTTTAATGGTCTGCCTGAGTTCGCTAGACGCTGCGTGAATTACATCGATCGGGGTTTGGCCTGTGACCGATTGTGTGGATCTATTGTAGGCTATTGTTGCCCTCAATATGAACTCGTCTGTCTTCAGACATTTTTTCAAGTTTAAAAGATCTAGCAATATCCGCAAGAGTGCCATGAAAGCGTTCTACTTGTCCATTTGAACAACTGTGAAGAGGTGGTGCATTCACAATGTCTATGTCATATCCGTTCTTTAAAAGTGATCTAATTGTCTCCGAATTGAAAGCGGCTTCATTGTCGCAATAAATCGTGTTTGTTTGGGGAAACAAATTTAGAAGTTGAATAATGGCCATTTTTACATCCATTATTGTGCGAGACGCGAGCGGTTGTACAACGACCAATTTCGAGATGCAAGTAAGGAACGATTTTTTGTCCGTTGAAAAAAGTTCAATGTGGATCATTTCTCCAGCAACAACAACATTATTAGAAATTAGCTGCCGGAAAACTTAACACCAAATCATGTTGTATACTGGCTAACGTTGGCAGATCACAGTAAATCGCGTTTATTGAGTTGTTATTATAGGAAACTTACCAGCAGATCGACTCCGCCCATTTTCTATCTGTGGCTTAGATTTTTGTGGCGCAATTAGGAGTCCCGCAGACCGTCCATAGCAACATCGCGACGAACTTCGTCGGAGCAAGTCGCCAGTTTCGGGAGTTGCGAACTCGAATCAAGGATGAGTCGCAACTGAGAAGCAATTCATCAAAAATCGGATGCGAATTTGCGTTCATACTGCCAAGAGTTTTGCACTTCGGGGGTCTGTGGGAGGCAGGTGTGACATCTGCAAAACACCTACTCCTTCGGACAGTGAGCAGCCTGCCGCTAACGCCCAAAGAACTACAGACGACTCTTGTCGCAGTGGAAGCCGTGCTCAATTCTAGGCCCTTAGGAGCGCTAAGCATGGACTCAAGCGACGGCGAGGCTCTAACGCCAGGCCACCACTGGTGCGAGGCCCATTGGGCAGAGAGGACCCCGGACTAGCAGGGTCTCACCTGCTTCAATCGATGGCGAGCTGTCTCGTCGCTCAAGCAACAGTTCTGGCAGCTATGGTTAAAGGAGTATGTTCTTAGACTCCAAGCGCGAATCCAGTGGCACCATCGCTTGCCAAACATCGTCGTGAGAGAGCTGGTGGTCGTCGCCGAAGACAAACTGCAGCCCCAGAAGTGGTTGATCAGCAGAGGGACGGCGGTGCGCGCAGGAGAAGACGGCGTCGTTAGGGTGGCAGAACTGAGCACGGCCAGTGGTGGACATTTAAAAGTCCGATCCACAAATTGGCACGGCTACCTGCCAAATGAATCCCCAAGAGCTTCATGGTGGCCGGTGTTGGCGCAGATCTGCGCATTAAATAATATAATTGATTAAAAAGTTGAAGTCTGGTGTAAGTTAGGTTAAGGGCAGAGCGAGAGCGCAATAAAGCTTTGTCACCTGCTCTGGGAGCAAATTCGCCTCGCTTCGCTGTCGCAGCTTAATTTAGCCTTAAGAAGTTCATAGTTGTCAATAAAAAACGAGAAAGAAGGGCTATCTTCGGCACGCCGAAGATTTAATACCCTTGCAGACCCAACCTTTTAATAATGTTCATAGTGATTTGCCCGTATCTAAGTTAATGCCGAGTATGGTTAAAATATCTTGAAGAACAAAAAAGTTTTCCATACAACAACTTAATTTTCGACCGATCGTTCCTATGGCAGCTATTTGATATAGTAGTCCGATGTTGATAGGATTTTGCATATATATAAGGAGTAAAACTAATAAATGCCGAGTTTAGCAAGATAGCTGGTTTTGACATATGTACTGCGTGCAACAGAAAGAGGCTCTTCTTTCTCATAAAGATAGCTTTAAAACTGCTAGTTCGCATAGAAACAGACAGACGGACAGACGGACTATAGCCATGTCCGGTTGTTGATACTGATCATGGATATATATACTTTATGGGGTCGGAGATGTCACCTTCTATGCGTTACACAATTCACGACAAAATTATAATGCCCTCTGCAAGGGTATAACAACGTTTCCTTGGCAGGGTTCGAACTCGCGACTAACCGCACTACTTGCCGCCGCCTCTACTCAACAGCCAAAAAAATAAAATATTTCCCTCGGTATGTCTCGAACTTGCAGCAGACCGCACTACCTACCGCCGCCTCCACTAGAATTCAAAGAAGTCGCTCATAAATGAAATTTGCGTTAGCTGCCGCAAACACGTGGGCAGCCGAAACACATTTTTTTTGGTGTTTCTTACCCGATCTTGATGGAATTTTCATCAGTAGATCTTATTGTACTTTAAAATTTTCATGTATTCTCACAATTGCATTTAAATTGGTTTATTAACTTGATTTATAGGTTTGCGGTGGTAGCGGGGAGCTGGTGATGGGTATAAAATGAAAGATGATATATATATACTATTCTAGAATCAACATATCAAGTTTTTGTGACTCTAGCTCATATTATTTACCCAATTTGCTCAAAAAACAGTATTTCGATATCGATATTTTTATCGATTACTTGGAATTCTGATATCCTTGCTTTCATACATACAGACGGACAGACAGACGGACATGGTTAGATCAACTCGGTTGTTGATGCTGAACAAGAATATATATACTTAATGGGGTCGGAGATGCTTCCTTCTGCTTGTTACATACATTTGCACAAATACACTATACCCTTTTTACCCATTTTCAATGGGTTCAGGGTGTAAAAATAGCTCGCCGCTCAGAGCGACTGGCAGCGGGCGTCAATGCAGAAGGCAAAGGGCCCACGAATGAGAGTGAACAGCAGAGTACAAGAGCGCTCAAACATTATTTGCTCTTAGGCTGTAATTTTGATTGTCGTATTCTGCTGTTGGCTACTGCACGCAGCCGGCAGTTGTCTCAATTGGTTACTTAACCAAATAGTATGTATGATTGATACTTTCCAAAGATGACTAAAATCGATAACGAGGTGGCACCAAATTGTAATATTTGTTCACAAGCAAAGTAAGACGGGCACCCAAAAAAGGAATAGCTTCACCAAACGCGAATACCTTCATTATCCGGGGAAATGTTACACATTGACGTTTTTTTTACCGTCAATCAATTTTTCTTGACACTCGTTGACAAATTCTCGCATACTATTGAGGACATGAGTGCGCTATTTATTGCATTGTTGAATTTCTTTCCGTACGCTAAGCACTGTGATACTGTGTACTGTGATAATGAGCCCGAATTTAACCCGAGACCCTAACAGATTTACTTTTGAGGTCATCCACAGCCCCCTCTGCAAAGCACATCGCACGGCCAAGTTGAGAGGTTACAGAGCACTCTTCTAGAAATAGCGAGATGCATCAGGCTCTAGAGAGAGATTGAACAAATGACTGACCTTATTCTCCAGGCAACGGCGGAGTACAGTAAATCGGTGCAGCCCGTAACAAACAGAAAACCCGTCTCCATGCCCCAACTCGTAGAACATGGCAAGAAGTAGCTTCCAAAATCCACAACCAATGGATTAACCGGGACAGGCAGAACTGAGTTTTTGAGGTAGGGTAAAAGGTACTACTAAAATCCAACAGGAGGCTAGGAAACAAGATCATCCCATTATGTTCAGAAGAAAAGGTTAAAGCTGATTTATGAACATTGGTCCTTATTAAAGGGAGGCTTTTAAACGCCTCTTTGACAATTTGCTTACATAAGATTTACATTTTATAGTTCCAGATCTTTATATTTTTCATTCTCTTTCTGACTTCCTCGATAGCACGCCAATTCTAATTATAGACGTGAATCTACTGGTATGGGATGAACGTAACTATTGAAAGCATAATACGAACCTTACCGACTACAACCTGATAGCTAGACTACAAATCTGACAAGCATGTTTCCAGAGTCCCACATGCGGTAACTGCTGGAAGAACACACCAGACACTTAATAGACCTATTGACCAAACTACAGAATGGCAAAAAGACTAAATTTCAGCCTTAAAGTTGATCGCCGGCACTCCCAACATGAGCGACTTAGAGAACATCACGATCACAGAGACGAAGTTTGTCAAGGAAAACGATACGCAAGTGATAAGAAACACAAGAACACATCTACAGATAAACCAATTAAAAGACACCGCCAGCCATTTATTAAATGTTGTTAAAATGGAACAGGTTGACACGGGTCATCTACATAATTTTATCATTGAGTATCCTGGAGTTTATGATCGAAGTTTATATTGAAGAAGGTTACAATCTTCAATAGCACCACACCCTGCATGTCCCGGACAACGGGGATGCGGAGTGCGAGTACTGGCCCTGAAAATCGCAACAACGTCCAAAGCCAATTCCCAGTGTCGCATAATCCCCCTGCTGAACATTGACGGTCATAACATGGTACTTAGCTTCTCATTTCTGCAATATTTAAGCGAGGAGAATTCATTCATTCCTGACGCAGTAATTCAGGAAACGACAAGACACCCGCCAAATCAAGGAATTTGAACTTTTTTAGCTTTTTATTCCTTGTACTTTTTTACTCTTCTCTTTTATTTAATGCGCCGATCGGATACCTATATTAACTAATTCCAAACGAATTGGAATAATTTATATACTTTAAAGGGTCGGAGATGGTTTCTTCTAAGCATTTCATAAGAAAGTTATAATAAAAATTATATTTTTCAAGGCAGTTAAATTAAGAACTAACAGCTCTCTGTAAACAGTCCAGTGATATTTTCGGCCTTCAAAACATAAGTCATCACGACAGACAATTTTTATGAGCAATGTTAAGACTACATGATAAAACGACGGTCTATGCTTTATCCCGAATAACAATCAAGGAATTCAAAGAAATGAATAGGAAGATATGCCATCTTTAAATCTTAAGTTCAAAAGTTCGTGAAATTAAAAATCGACAAATATAAGTGTTTGTTCAAACGAGGAAAACGTGTAATTTTGCGTTTCCCGGTCATCTGTATTAAAATGGATACTTCGACACAGGTCAGTTCATACTAATGCTTGAATCAGAAGCCATGCCATTCAACAGTAGCAAATGTCACCAGGTGAACAGATCTTGGAATTTGTGTCACTTAACTAATTTAAAAGATTAGGTAATAATTACCTAAAAAAGTAAGAGTACCGCTACTCCGAAAATGGGCCGTAGTGGAAAGAGATGACGAGACTCAGTGAGTAAGTATTTAAAATCTTTTTTAAATGTCAACAAGCTAAAAGAACGTTGCACGTCAAAGCCCCAATGATGACAACACCTACAGTTCAAATTGGTTAAGAAACACAAAAATTGTTAAAGAAAATGTGTGCTAATATTTACAAAGTCACGTGTTTGTGGCAACTAACGCAAATATCAAGAATTTCAGTTTTCCTCCACAAACATACATTAATGCGCGTCAGCATTGCAATGGCGATGAATTCTCAGCTGTGTGTATATTCTGCTATTTTAATTGATTTTTCTTCGGTAAAAATAAATTGTTGGCATGGCTGTCGAGTAGAGGAGCTACCTTTTTCTTATTAATTGTTAATACTGTTAGAGAGAGAAGCCTTAGTGTATTCTCTAGTCGGAAACTCCCGGCTAGAGCCTCTTACTTGTTAAGTACGGCTGGCGACTATTGAGAAGTGAGCGAGTTGCAAAATATCAGATAGTCAAGAATGTTTCATAAGCCATTGCTTCGTTGTCCAAGAGTTCATTTATATTGGAACGACAGATTAAGTCATGCCATTTTTTTTAATGAAATTTACAGATGACTTCAACGACAGCGGTTCCTCTACAGATGGAGAACGGAGGTGAACTACCAAAAATACATAAGGAAGGAACGAATGAGCAGGCTTAATAAATATTAAATAATATTTAAGCTTTTTATGTTCATATTTTACAATTACTAACAAGTAAAAGGTTCTAGTCGAGAGCTCCCGACTAGGGGATTCCCTGAACCCTCTTCTTCCAAATGCAGATCGCGCTCGTTTGATTTAGTAGTAATAAATAAAAATTAAAATAAAAAAAAGTTGTTCGCTTGGCAGGGT